ATATAAATTAAGATTTAAAAAAATTGCCTGTAAATCAAATGATGAATTATGTATATGTTCACATACGATAGATTTTTGTTGTATATATATTGTTTCAGGATTATAATCATTATATAATAAATATGTATGTGATGGAATTGTTAAGACACATGAACATGGTTCAATAATTGAATCCGGTGGACATTCACTATGAATAAAATCAGTAAAAATAAGAATTGAAAATATATAAACGATTGTCTTTCTATTAAACATGATTTATTGATAAAATGAATGTTAAAATAAAAATATATAGATTTATAAAAGTAAATATCAAAATAAAACCCATTTTTAGATATGATTCATATTTGAAAACAGATTTACAAGTTGTTATTGTTCGTTTTTTTTCTTTTGTCTTTGCTCTTTATCATATAAAAACAAAGAATTAAGCTTATGAGATTTATCTACGAAAAGAAATAATTTCAAGGTGCGTTTTCATTTGTATAATTTAACATTTTTATATAGATGATATATTTATCTATCTAATTTATAAAAAATAAGAATCGAATCACAAAATCTAAGACATATATTTTACTCATCAATTAGTTTTATCAAAAAAACATAGTTAATAATGTATAGATTCGCTCTTAATTAAATCTATTAATACATGAGTCATACAGATAGACTCATTCGAAATTTCATATTAATATGATTGTTAATCATATTAAAAAAGCTGATCGATAGCAATGATATCATTAGAATGATTTGAGAAGATTAGAAATTCGTTCTATATAGTTAGCAAATAATTTTTACGTTAGATTTTCATTAAAAGGTATAAATTAAATGGTCAGTTTTTTATTCAAAATGATCAGTAGTTTATTGTGAATTATCAGTAAAAAATTTGAACTGTCAGTAGAATAATTAATGGTCAGTGACTTCTGGATTTCATCAGTAATTTAATCATGTTATCAGTATCTCAACTAAAATATCTGTAGTTAATTATGTTTGATCAGTGAATTATCGCATTTATGTCAGTTTTCACCGTTGTGTAAATATATATATAATGATCACTTTATAAGAAAACAATTGATCATTCGGAATAAAAAACTGATCATTTAAAATAAGACCCTTGGTTAAAAAAATAAAATTTATCTCGCCAAAAACTTCCACATACTAATCTTTCCAATAAAATTACAAAGTAAAACCAAAACTCTATGGATTACCTTTCCTAGTATGATTAACATTTTATCTTAATGAATCCAGGATGGGAAAGAAGAAAGTATGAGAACATTCTTTCATCAGTTCAGTGCGTTTTTTTTATAATGTAAATAAATTACACCAAGGAATGAAATAGTTATTCATATACGAACTAGGATAAATGAATAATCCATTTAGAAATACATATATTTTACATACCGATGAGATGATAAAATATACAATTTAAAGAAATTCTTCCACGTAAATTGATAATAATAAAGAACTATTTTGTAAAAAATTTCAATTCACTGATAAGCAGCGTAGGAAGAGATAGAAAATACTCAACATTTATTCATGCATCACACCTGTATAAATAGGCAATAATAAGCTTATATTTCACTACATTGTTTCTTCTATACAACGAAGAAATGCGATTACAAGTTAGTTTTAATTTATCTTTATTTTCTTTTATATATCTTAATTTAATTAATAGATTGTATTCATCGTCATTGCGTTTGCAGTTCTATTCGAACATCAATGTTTAGCAGACAAAGGTAAATGAATTTTATTCTTTCAATACATATTTATCATTTAATTTTTTTTACTTAGATAAAAGTACCAAAAAGAAAGGAAAAGGAAAAGGTAAATAATATTTAGGAAGTTTTCAACATAAAACTTTTGTTTTTAATTTAAATTTTAGATGAGACAGATGGCTGGAATTGGAGAGACAATTATTTAGATGAAAATGAAGATGCATATCATCATGATAAACCATCACATCATCATGATAAACATAAGGATTCATATGATGACAAATCAGACTACAAAGATGGAAAGTCAGACCACAAAGATGGAAAATCAGACTACAAAGATGGAAAATCATCCCATAAAGATGGTAAATCAGACTACGATGATGATAAATCACGCCACAGTGGTGAAAAATCAGACTACAAAGATGGTAAATCATCCCACAAAGATGGTAAATCATCCTACGATGATGATAAATCACGCCACAGTGGTGAAAGAACAAACTACAAAGGTGGTAAATCATCTCACAAAGATGGTAAATCAGACTACGATGATGATAAATCACGCCACAGTGGTGAAAAATCAGACTACAAAGGTGGTAAATCATCCCACAAAGATGATAAAACAGACTATGATCATGATAAATCACGCCACAGTGGTGAACGTACAAACTACAAAGGTGGTAAGTCAAATTACAAAGGTAGTAAATCATCCTACAACGATGATGATGACAACTCATATGAAAGACGACCATCTTATAACGATGATGATGATTATCAAAGTTCAAACTACAATCAAAAAGTAAGAATTTGACTTTATAGGAATACACTAAATGTATTTATTTGCTATTTGTAGAATAAAAAACCAGATGATCTTGGTCATATGAATATCTATTTCCGTGAACCATCAAAAGATGGTAAACGAAGAAAACCAAAACGTTTTCGTTTTCCAGTTGCTCGATATGAACGTGAACGATTTCGTATGCATTTTATTATTCTTTATTAATTACATAAAAATGTTTTTTTTTATCTCCTAGCTAAATCATTTGGTCCACTTATTAGTTTTCTTCCATGGTTACCAATCTTTGCTGATCGTCTTACAAAACAAACAATTATCTATTCACCAACAGGCGGTGGTAAATATTTTGTTTTTGATTTATAGTTTATTTATATTTTATTCTGTTTGATAGTTTATATAATTCCACCAGTCATCAATTTCTACGGACGAATGACTTCAGTTGCTGAACTTATTTCATCTGGTTATGCTAGTTTAGTTAGCAGTGGAGCTCCACCACCACCAGCTGTTAATGTTGCACCACTCGTACAACCTGGTCCAGGTAAATAAATTTTTAAAATTTAATTTGAATCAACATTTTCATTGTTTTTTTATATCAATAGTTGTTGGTCCTGGTGTACCAGCTGTTAATCCAGTTGCAGGTGGTTTTACAGGTGGTGTTAAAACCGATTTTCGTACATTTGAAAAAGAAAAACATCCAAAATCAGTTGAAGGAAACCATCGTTATCACAACAAAGATAATTATGATAAACCACGAGGTGGTTATTAACAGCCATATATAGGTTTACAAATATTACACCAAAATAATTATTAAAACAAGAAGTTCATTAGTTCTAATATACACATTTCATATACTCATATATGCATGTATTTCATTTTCTTGTTCTTCAGTTATCGTTTTATTTTTCTCTCTTTCATTGTATTAATAAAGAATGAAGAGAATATTAACAAGAAAATATTCTCATTATAATATATCTATGTAATAAGAAAACGAAAAAAATCATGTGGTAAATTTTCTTGTAAGGTAGAAGTTTCAGTAGTATAATAATTTCGAAAATTTGAAAAAAAAGTCTTAGATGGATCTATGAATTGTTATACTGTTTTATATTTTGTTGTGCGGAAATGTGAAATAACTTATTCAGATTGTGTACTGTGATTTATTGAATTAATGAATAAGAGAACCGTGTATAAAGAAGAATGTGAGTGTTTATGGTCTCTTGATCCTATACTCACACTCTCAAGATTCTATGAATTCCTTGAGTTCTATGGATTATGCAATTTCTTAGAATTCCGCGTGTGTATTTTCAAGTTATTTATGAGTTCGAAATTTACGGAACTTGGTCACTCCTATTTTCATTCACAAACATCATATACGTATATGTATATTGTATATGTTTTTTCTTAAAACTAAGAAACCGTTTATTCAAAAGATTAAATAGAATAGCATTAGATTTATTTATGATTTTTACTTCTGTTGAAGTTTTCAAAATCATTCTTGTTTATAATAATGTCTTATTTTGTTTTACACTTCTGATCTTTTAATTTTCCGTTTAGCTGCTGATTGGTGAGATGGCGGATGAGGTTGACAACCATCTGTTGTTATTTCCAAAACTGGTTCTTGAAATATCTCGCCAAATGTTCTTCTATCCGATTGATCAAGAATCTTTTTTAATCCATTTCCTGATGGGTAGTGATCTTTCATTCCTTTCAATTGCATCACTGTTCGACAGAGAGTTTCAGCTTCGTGTCTTCTCATATCAAAATTCTTCGAATCGATTTCTCTATTGTTAATTAAATAAAATTTTAATTCTGTATCTGGTTGAAATTTCTCTTTGTAGTAGGCAACCTGTTGCTCCAGACTAAGTACATGTGCCTTCGAAGCTGAATTAAAACTACTGTATTTACTATACTCAATTTTCATTGTAATTACACGTTCTGCCTGTTGTGTAGTCTTGGTATATATTTTTTTGAAGCGTCTGACCAATTTCTTCTTTCTGCAACAACAACAACGAAATAGATTGAAACAACCTGTAGTCGTTTTAGGAACAAGTAAATCTTCTTCTCGATAGTTTGTATCTCGATTAACGGAAGCCGGTGTCTTTTTCACGCGATAGGATGCTTCGGTTCGTTCGCGACAGAGGCAACGATTACAGCCGTTTTCACCTAGGCTATACACGGACTCAACAGATGATTTTATATCAGTGTCGACACCTTTGGTAAATGCTGCTTTATAGCTGATTTGAGTCACATCTTCAAGTAGAAGCATTATGACTTCTTCTTCACCACTCGTTTTTTGTTCTCTTGTAAGGTTCTGTTGTTCTTCATCACTTTCTTGTTGATTTCTTCCATCACCATTAAGTTGTCTTTGATGATAAAGATGAATAGAAAGCACTGGACAAGTAAATTTATCTTCCGAGATGCTGACACCTAGTGAAAAAGACGAATAAAACAAAATCGAAATTATAGTTTAGATTACAACTATTTCATATCATTCTGGAAGTTTAGTCGTGAAACTATTTGAGAGACAAGAGCTCATTTTTGGCTGAAAGTTAGAATATATTATCCTGAAAACTGCGTATATTACAAAAATTATTAGTTAATAAAATATTTTAGTAAAGTTTTAGAAATTAAGAACGATTTTATTTAAGCTTTGTAATTTTCATTTGTAATGATATTTGTTCTGTTCTTATGATTCCTTCTCATTTCAAGTATTGCCCTTATTTTATACATCATGTGATACTTTGCCCTCATCACATTTCGTCCTTATTGTCTTTTTCTTTCGTTCTCTCTGGTAGGCGAATATATAAATATATGAAATTAATGCGATTCTCGATAAGAAGAAATATAATAAAGTATAATACCATCAGCACAAGCACTTCTTCTGTTAGAAATCGTAACATCATTTACCATTGTAAACTGAAATTAATTTACTTATGAATCGAGTAACCTCTAAATAAGAATCTGACTCTTTAAATTTTGGTAAATAAATAATAATTTCAATTTTAAAATGATTTACTTTCTTTGCCTATGCTACAATTAAGTTATGTGAAGAATCCCGGAGAGTTAAATTAATTTCACAGAAGAAATATGGACATATTCTTCTTACCTGGATAAAATGAAATGAAACCAGAGGGTGTCTCTTTTTCTGTCTCAGCTCCGTTCATAAGAATTGTACTATTAATTTGTTTTTGTTCTTTGATAGATGGTTTGTAGGACTTTTTCTTCGTTGCAGTTGCCATCGAAATTGACACGGAAGCAGTTCTAGAATTAAAAAGAAAAGAGAAAAATAACTTAGCTCGATATTTTGTCATAGTTGTGAGGCAAGTATGGCTTGAAGAAAGATGAAAAAGTATTGTATTTATGTATCTTTTTTTATTGTAGTTTTTTTCCCAACTAATTTTGTTTTATTACGCTTCTTTTGAAGAGAAAATGTTACTTGGTTTCTTCCTCAAACGCTACGACCTTTTCTGTAATCTGTAAAATCAATAAAAATCAGAAGATAACATAAGTGCAAGTGAGAAATAACTAAAAAGAAAAAAATCCAGCTATATTCTATCTTGAGAGTGTGAATTTATGAGAGTTTGGATGTAGATAGATGTGAATTGGGTATTATGATTATTTTTATTCACATCTACAACCTCAATATCAAATACTGAATTCATTTTTGCGTAGAAAAATATCGACTTTTAAAAGTAAGCCTTTTTCAAGCTGCTTGTATTTATTATTAGCGTCATTACGAAGCAAATGTGTCATAAAAGCTTAAAAAGTTAATTCTATTTTTCATTCACAGTTTCAAATTACGTAAATAGTAAGCATTTATTTGAAATAAATAAATTATTTTACTTCGTTTTAGGCCATCTGTTCATCGAAATGGATTAGTAAATGTTTTATTTGATAGCATACATCTTTTCTTTATTTTAGGTCATTTAAACATCAAAGGTCAACAGTGAATATTTATTTAAATAGTTATAGAACCTATTAAAAAAATAAAGGACTGATGAGTCAAGCATCAATACTCCAAATGATTAATATCTGGTCGAACTATAACAATTCTTGTCGGATGGGATCATAGGTGGGGATTCTTTGCCCTTGTAAAGAAAGAGCATAACGCAGCAGATAAAATGAATCTGATGATAAATATGGGTAATAAAATAATTAGACTTTTAAAAACTTTAATAATCACTAAGTGAATATATTCATTCAAGTTTACATGTTCAATCAATTAAAGCAAAAAATTTGTTTTATGCCTGATAAAACAGGCTTGTTTATTGTTTGTTATATATTTGTGTTTGTAGAAATTAGTGAGACAATCATCTATTTCTATAGTAATAAAATATGTAAGAATTTATGCAAACCAATTATATGATCAAGAAATAACATATAGAAACCATATATATTCTTAATATTCAGCATCTTATCACACTTCGAGTCAATTGTAATGATTAGTAAGAAGGTCATATGAAGTTTAAGGATTCTTTGCCGTTCTTTCAGTGATATATTCTTTTTTTTCCTCAATAAACTCACAAATGACTATAACTTGCCTGTAAATATCTACAAAACGAAAATCATAAATCAGTTTGATTCATATACAAATATTCTTTACAAATCATTGTTATATCATCAACCTTCACTAAAAAAAAATTTTCGGGTAGTATTATTCATCTCAAGAAAAAAAAATATTTTTAAAGCATCAATCGATAAAAGTTCTTTTCATATATTCACTTTTTCCTTTATATTATATTGATGTCTACGCGATCAAGTGAGTATCTTACCAAAAACCATTTTTAAAGTCATAGGTATAGTTCATTCCTCTTAATTGATTTGAATACCGGAAAATGAATTACTTGAAATAATTTTTTATACTAAATGATCTTGAGTGATAAATTCCAGTCTATATAGAAGTATAATAATAATATTTTTGTCAATACATCTTACAGACTGACATATGACAGTTGTATCGTCTTTTGCTATTAGAATACATCAAATCTGTATTATAAGTATGTTGACAAACCATATAATAACTAGTTATCTTGATAAACTAATCAATTTCATTGCGTCTTGTTTCATGAGAAATATTTTTTGTTTGTATTTTGTACAAAAATTGCATAAATATAATTTTTTTTTATGGTTTCATAGGTATGTCTGAATATATTATAGATTTTTTTTCTATTAAATCACTGACAATCTTCTAGCGCTGAAATGTATACTATATATACATAATCATATATGCCTAAATTACAGGTAGGTTCGATTATAATCAAATTTATATTTTCTTAAGAATTTGATATAGTGTGTATGTTTCTTTCTTTCTGGTGTTGTTATTTTTTTTTACAACTAGCATAATATATTTTGATAAATCAATATTTAAATGGCAATAAGATATAAAGTAATTCGTATGAGTTTTTTTATTTTGATCTTATCAAATATATTCTCAAGATTTCTTAAAAAAACTAAGTCTCTAATCATAAGTAGAATATTTATCAAGGGTTTGCATTATTGATTTGAATGAAAGTCAATTGATAGGAAATAAAATATAACTTTTACTTTCTTTCACTTCCTTACTGTTCAAATGAAAGATTTTTTGTGCCCCTATAACAACATCTCTATAAATAACTAATAATATTTTGTTTTTCTTATTGACTTATCAATAGAGTCATAACACATGACGTAAGAAATCTGTCTGAAGGTTAATTAATAGATATACATTGTAGTTCCATCTGGTTATTTTCTCGTGTTTTTCTCTTTCTTCATCTATCAGCTAGATCCACCTACTAAAATCATTTGACACTCTTTTCAATGTCATCTAAATATGTACTTTTTTCGAAATATTCTGATTTAATTTTACTAGAGATGACAACAACGATTATTGTTCATAGTCCACCTGATGATGATGATGAAATACAATCTCAAACTGAACAACGTCAATTTTTAAGTCTACCAACATCAGATGTACCAACGCAAACAACAATTTTTAAGCCATTTCCACAGAGTATACTTAAAACAATTGAAAATGATCGAAAACATCGTTTATCTCATTCACGTTCAGCTGCGGATTTTTTACATCTTAATCAATCATCAATTGATACAGTTGATGATGATTTATATGATAATTATGACACTATAACAGCAGTAGATTCCAAACGAAAACATTCATTACTTATAAATTCAACTCGACCACGATCACCATCAGACATACGTATTAATATAGATCCAGATATATCATCTCATCAACATTCAATTAATCTTCAAAATAAAATCTTATCTTCAACATATGAAAATGAAACACATCATTCTGATCCATCATTACTTAGTATAAAAACTTCTAAACAAAAACGTGCTGAATATTTAAGACGTCATGTTCTTGAACGTCGTTTTGGTCATCGTATGCATTCAACATTTTCTTCTTCATCATCAACATTACGTTCATTAGGTCGACGTTTTCCATTACCAACTATTTCTCCACGTTTAAATCATCGTAAACGTATACAATATTTATCAAAAGATTCTAAATGGCATTTAGTTCGTAATAATCTAACTAAAATTGCGATGATGAGTGATTCATATGCTCGTATGAAAATAATTCAAGGTGATTTACGTTGGAAATATTTACGTGAATTAATAGATAAACAAATATTAGATATACGTGAAATGTCTGTCCTTCGTCAACAATATGATGGAACATTGAAAAAATCTCAAAAATCAAATTCCGAATTAAAATCTATTCATTCTAATGAAGTTGTACATATCGAACATGATGGTCGAGTTTTTTCAATGAATACACGTGATCTTGTTCTAGGTCGAGTAAATCCTGATGAAAATATACAATTAGATACATTGGCTCAATTTGAAGCAAGAAGAAAATTTCGAATTAAACAAAGTCTATTAAAACAACAAGAAGGAAGAACTCGTTTAAAAAAACATATTGCTTTTTCATTTTGTTTATGTAATTTATCTTTTATAGCTTTTATGTTTGTTAGTATGTTTATGTTTGCTATGAAGACTATTATTGAATTGAGAACAACAGAACTTTTTTAACAAATTTTACAACTCATCAATCTTATTTTTTTTCTTTTCATTCTGTGTCGTTTAATGGTATACATTAAAGGTATCTAAACGAAAGAGAAGAAGAAAAAAAATCTATCTTTTATGTAATATTGAATTACCATATGGTAAAAGAATGCATATATATATTTATTTTAATGATAAGAGAGAGAAAGAAGTCGAATAAGGTAGTTATTTATTAAAATATATTGGCAATGAAATAAAGAACATAACTTTGTAAAAAATTTAATATCTGTCAAAATCTTGAAAATTCATTGAGTAAAAAGTTCTTCGATATTTTTACTACACTTTAAAATCTTAAATATATATATATATATACGTAATAGTAACAATCCAACTTGTCATCTTTGTTTTGTTTTCTTTTTATATGTACATACAATCGAGAAGTTACAAAATATGTGGCACATGGTTTTTCTTCTTCTGCGCCTTTTTTTGGTCGACTCATCGTAAATACAACTGATTCTTTTGTCACTAAATCGTACAACAAGAACAATCTTTCTTTTCTTTCTTACACTCTTTCTACCATCGTATTGATTTCTTAGTTTGCTGTTCTTCTTGTTCTTTTTTCTCACCAGTACATAAAATAAAACATTCGTTTCTTCCTTACTACGCACATATTCTCTTACTTCTCGTTTTACAAAGATGGGATTATTTGTATACTAATAGTGAACAGTCCATTTCATCATTCATGACAATCGATTGGCATCTTCTGTAGGTTAAATTTATCAATAATATGAATCATTCGATTCATGAGTGTATTATATTGTAATAGAAAAAAAAAAGAGAGTCATTCTTGATGATGAATCATAATCATAATAGCTACCTTACTTTTTCTTTCTGTTCTTTTTCTTTCATATTGATCAACTTTGTGTACGTGCATACATGAAATAATGGTACGTTATTAAATTGTGAAATCTATTTAATAATCTCATACTTTATTTTTGATTTTTAGCGTTTACGTGATCTATTTCGTAGTCAAACAACTAATGAACGAAAATTAACTTCATCTATTTTACCAGTACTTGATGTCAATACATTCATCAATGCTGCATTAGATAAAGATATTGATACATTACAAAAATATCTTTATGCAGGTTGTTAATAAATAATATATATTCAATATTAACTCTAATAGATTTTTATTTAATTTCTAGGTTTCCCACCAGATCAACCAGATCCATTAACAAGAGTAACCGCATTGCATATTGCTGTTGAATCAGCTAATTTACGTTTTGTTCAAATATTATTACAAGCAGGTGCTCAAGTTAATGTATGTGATTCAAGTTTTTCAACACCACTTCATATAGCTGCTTATATGGGATTTGAAGAAGTGAGATTATATTTATTAAATATTTTTTAAGAACAGAAATATAGTATCATTTGTCCTAGATAAATAGATTGTACAGATACTTTTAATAAATGGTGCTGATATGTCTTATCGAGATAATACCGGTCGTAATTCATTTCATTTAGCTGTATCAACTGGAAATAATCGATTAGTTCAATATTTTCTTTTACATATGAATACAGAACAAAGTATTATAAATACAACAGATGCGTATGTGTTTTTTGAAGAATTTACCACTAATAAAAATTATATTACTCTTTAGATATAATTGGACACCATTAATGTGTGCTTGTGCTAGTATTCATCCATCTACTTGTACTTTTCTCTTATCTTATGGTGCTGATATAAGCGCAATCAATGATCGTGGTATGAATGTATTTCATATTGCTGCTTTTCTTGGTTCATTATCTCTTGTTCATGAACTTTTGAATTCATCTATCGATGAAGAAATACTTCTTACAACACTCAATCAAGGTGACAATCGAAATCAAACGCCATTATTTTATGCTTGTGTTGAAGGTCATCTCGACGTCGCATTGACCTTACTACACGCCGGTGCTAATGCTTATCATATAGACAATGATAAACAAACATGTTTACATGCAATGTTATCGTCAAGTATTACATTAAAACGTCACATACGTTTATTTTATCGTTTTATTGAATTTGTTGATTTTCGATTTCATCAAGATAATCTTAGTCGAACATTACTTGATCTTGCTTATTTAAATCAAATAAATACAATTATTTATCTATTAATTTTACTTAATTATAAACGTAATTATGCTATTCTTTCTCATGATGATTATTATGATAGTACATCATCAGCACAAATCTATTCACTTCGTCAATTATGTATACTTTCATTTAAACGCTCAATAATTTATCATCAAAATCAAAAACAATTATCACAACATGAACTATTAGAAAATGCTTTACAACAAATATTTCATATAAATATAAATGGAGATACTGCTGCTGCTGCTTCGACGACTGAATTATCAGATAAAAAATCATTCGATGATTTATCTGGTATAAATAAAAAAAATTCTAAAACAATAAAAAAATCTCGAAAAACATTGAATATGTATTCAACAATACAACATGATATTGAACAACATGCACAATCAAGTTGGTCAATATTTACGAATAAATTTAAACCTCAACGAACATCAACTGCTCAACAGGAATCAACGAGTACACCCACAGTAATCACAAACCATGAACATCCTATGAAAAATTTAGCTTTAGCCATATTAATATCTCCAACAAAACTTGATGATTTACTTGATTTTCCTTCATTAAATAATAATAATCATTTATTATTAGAAGATATTAAAACAGCTATGAATAATTATAAGCTTGATGGAGCTGATTCATCTAATGAGATATAATTCTTTTTTTTTCTATATATTTTTTTGATTATTAATAAAATAAAGAAAAGAAACCCAACATTTTCAATGAATAATACACTGTGAGTAATTAATGATAACCATTTACCTTATAATTATTCAGTATTAATTTTTATCAGTTCGTTATATCGCGTGGGCGAACCGAATATAACGATTAGAAATATTTTCTCACAATCATATAAAAATTTAAGTCATAAAGATAATATTTGAATAGTAAATTAAAAGTATATTATAAACTATATGCTCTACTTTTTATTATATGTGGAAAAACATTCCGGTACATTATCTTTGAAATATAGAAATTAACATATATATAATTATGTATGAATAGAAACATGACATATGTTGTTGTTAGGGTGTAAATATTCATTTATATATTTTACATTGATTAGTTTATATCTATAAATATATCATTACTCACACCTTGCACGTGCACAATAATAAAATATGTCCTAGTTTATCTACCAAGCATTCATTTTATCGTTTTATGCACCTGTTGAACTATATAGCTGATTCCATTGAATAAGTTCTACTCAACAACTTTTTGTAAATATTTTTTTTAACACGACAATTTTTCTAATTAATTCTAAGCTTTGACTTCGAATTGTTTCCAATGTAACTTACAAGAAAGCTGAGCTAAAAAAATGACATCGGATATTCTACTTATACATAAATGTATTCAATACTAGAGAATATTTTCTTTTGAAGATTTCCTGCAACACCCTCGAATACTGTCTCGTAGAAATTTTGATTAGATAACTATACTTCTCTATTACGAAATATTAATAAGTTATTCTCTTTTTTCTTACATTGACGTTGTTCATTATAGTCATGTGTACCTTTTACTTTATTCTTCTTTTTCATATATAATATCCCATGTACTTTCTAAGCATGTCAAAAGATCTTCATAGATGATATAATCATTAATTTCTACGTGAGATGAATCTCATTTGATCTGACTAAGAGTGATTAAGTTTACAAATAAACTTTGATACATACGAGGGTGTAATGGGTGTAATATTCATCACTAGTAAATAAGAAGTACGTATATCGGTCAAGTTTTTTAGTCTTAATGAGAATCAAAAGATGAAGTTGAAAAATTAACATCATTAGATTAATGACACATTCGAACGAAGACAAGAATAAGTTACTATATATTCAACATCCACTATAATAGAAATAATACTTTTTTCAATTTACCCTGGATAAAATTCAACATTTGTCTTTAAAGAGTTAAAGTCTTACATGTGATAGTCAGCACTAGATAGTAAGACAAAGACAGTTTACTTAATAAATATTGATGTAGTGTTTAATTAGCTTGTTCTCCAATGACGTCAATATCAACAATATAGTCTTAATAAAAGACAGACATCTCAGTCTATCGTATAAATAATTCTTATCGAAATTAAGCATAGAAAAAAAAA